GTGCTGGCATGAGCCCTGCTAACCTGAGTCTCTCAACTCAGTCTGGGAACTTTCTTCTACGAGCTGTGTAGACATACTCTGGGCTGCTGAGGGGGAAGGAGTTTCAAAGCCCAGCAAGAAAGCTGGCAGGTTTAGGCTGGTTTCCAGCAGAAACCGGCCTGGCAAGCAGTTCCATTGCAAACGAACCTGGTGAAATAGTCACACACTCACACAACATTTCAATGTTGATGAATCAGCATTTTCCAATGGAAGAATGCTCCATTGGAAAATTTCTGACGCACTCCACTTACCACTGATTTCCTATTGATTTCTGTGTGCAATTGAAGGTATTGGAATTGAGCTATAAAATCTTACTAAATATGTTTTTTGGTCCTGGCTACCTAAGACTGCCTCTCTCCCTACGCACCCTCTCAGTTAACATCAGTTACTAAAGCTGCTAACAGTCCTCAGTCTGAACATTTTAGGGCTAAAGATAAGGCATTCCCAATGGAAAGCCTTCATCTATGGAACTTCCTCCCTTCTTTGGTCTGACAAAACCTTGATTAATTGATATTGGGGTATGTCATCTCACCTGGCAGTTGGTTTCTTGTAATACAATGCATCTTTCCTGAGTAATATTTGTGCACGGATCAAAGTATTTTTGAAATTTTTTGCAATCCTCTAAGGACTCCTACCAAAATGTCTCTGGGTCTGCTACATGTAGCGCTGTGGAGGATTTCACTCTATTTAGTTTTGCTGAAATATCACTTGCTTCCAAGCACACTGGAATATTGCAATCCCCTCTTTCAATTTTCTGCCTGGGTCCCTGCAGGACTGAAGGATACATGAAATTTTGCTTGCTCCATTTTTACCAAAGATTTAGTTTAGTTCCAACATGCAATAAAGGTGTGACACAGAAATGCTGGTAAGAGGTTTCTCTTTATGGCCCCAATTCAAAAAAGCATTTATGCATCTCCTTGACTCAAAAGCAGTCTAATAGACTTCAATGGTTTGAGTCTCATGCTTGAAGTTAAGTATGTGCTCATATACTTCCCTGAATTGGGGCCTACTTCCTTTCCTCAGTATGTGATATGGTCAGAGTTACAAAAAGTTATACCTGTGTCACATGGCAGGGGATCAGTATTCGAGTCCGGTGGCTATCGTTACCATAGAAGTCCTCCTGGGTCTTAACTTCTTCTATCAAACAAGAATACTTTCCAAGAACCTTTTAAGGTATACTATATGCTAGCCTTAAAATTCAGTAAAATGATTTAATATTATAGGTGTTTACATGGCAAGTTACTGTGCAGAAAGCCAGGGTGTGAATCTATAGTACACCAGCTTGCCACGCAGCAATGACCCACGTGGACACTGCTACAGTATACTTGAAGCCCTGTAGTATGACCTGGCATACTACACTTTCGAGCAGTAACACATGAAGCCGTACTCTGGGACTTGTGCTTTGCTATAGCAGTGTCCACATGGGATGTTACTGTGTTACTGCTTCTTGGGCAGTATCTGGCCATGTAGACAAGCCCTTATAGTTAAGGTTGCACAACCCTTTCCATTATAAGGCCCTGTTTTCATTTGCTTTTATTATTGCCAAACTTTAACTGTTTGGGTTGATACAGGCCACATGTCTGCCTCAGGCTGAATTTTTTGGAAAACTTTAATCAAAATGGTCAAGCCATTTCTGAGACTGAAATTAGGGAAAACTGTGTTATTTTGACCCTGTTAATTATTTTATTTATTTATACATACATACCACTGTTTCATAGAGATGTTTTAGTCATGCCTCCATACTTTAGAGTAGGACCTTGAAACTTGGCAGGAGGGATGCCCTGGTGTCTGGGGGTGTGCCTAGTGCTGTCTCAATGAAAGTCTGCTCAAATATGACCAAGTTATAAGCCTATGAAAAAAATCACACCTTGCATCTGCTCAGCAGAGGTTTGTTGGAGGCTGTAAATGTTATTCTCCAAAGATTCCATCGGCATGCTCCTTTCACACACAGTTCCTGCATGCTGACTGGATTACACATGCACCACCCACACAGCAACTGAGCATGCTCCATCCCTGGGCTGTAAAAGCTGAACAGCATTTTCCCCTTAGTTGCTCCTCGCAGCTGCTAAAACATGCTGTGGCGCTGTGCACCAGAAGTGAGAGGTAGGGAGACTATCTCTCGTGCTTTCAGTGACCTCCCCTCTCCCAACTAGAACATTGTCATAAATATAAAGGGAAGGGTAAACACCTTTAAAATCCCTCCTGGCCAGAGGAAAAACCCTTTCACCTGTAAAGGGTTAAGAAGCTAGGATAACCTCACTGGCACCTGACCAAAACGACCAATGAGAAGACAAGATACTTTCAAAAGCTGGGAGGAGGAAGAAAAACAAAGGGTCTGGGTCTGTCTGTGTGATGCTTTTGCCAGGGACAGAACAGGAATGGAGTCTTAGAACTTAGTAAGTAATCTAGCTAGATATGCGTTTGATTATGATTTCTTTAAATGGCTGAGAAATTAAGTTGTGCTGAATAGAATGAATATTCCTGTCTGTATGTCTTTTTGTAACTTAAAGTTTTGCCTAGAGGGATTCTCTATATTTTGAATCTAATTACCCTGTAAGGTATTTACCATCCAGATTTTACAGAGGTGATTTTTTTTACTGTTTCTTCTATTAAAATGTTTCTTTTCAAGAACTGAATGCTTTTTTCATTGTTCTAAGATCCAAGGGTTTGGGTCTGTAGTCACCTATGCAAATTGGTGAGGATTTTTACCAAACCTTCCCCAGGAAGTGGGGTGCAAGGGTTGGGAGGATTTTGGGGGGAAAGACGTTTCCAAACAACGTTTTCCCAATAAACCCAGATAAACGTTTGGTGGTGGCAGTGGAAGTCCAAGGGCAAAGGGTAAAATAGTTTGTACCTTGGGGAAGTTTTAACCTAAACTGGTAAAAGTAAGCTTAGGAGGTTTTCATGCAGGTCCCCACATCTGTACCCTAGAGTTCAGAGTGGGGAAGGAACCTTGACAAACATGAACAAGAAAGAGGAAGCAGCCTTATTCAAATGCAAAGGGATGTGGTGTAGAGGGTGGTGGTGATGGAACAGGAGCCAAAATAAAGAAAGGGACTGGAGCTGAGAAGCTTAGGGGCAGAAGGGTCTATAATCACTACAGCACGTTCCCCTCCCAAACCTGAAACTGATCCCAGGATTCCTGAGTCTCAACATCCCTGTGATCTCTAGAAAATAGCTGTGCATTCCCGTGGTAAAGTGTCTCTCTCATCCCCCCATCCTGAGTAACTCAGCTTTGCGGTGCCCACTGTTGCGTGGTGCCCCTGCTTGCTGCTCTGCTTGCTACCCCTTAATGCTGGCCCTGGCTTTTATATGAAGAAAAACAGTTGTTGCACAGGTGGGCCATGGAGTTTTTATAGCATGTGGGTGGGCTTCAGGAAGCAAAAGGTTGAGAACTCCCTGACATAGAAGATAACTGCCTACTATTGCCACTAGATAATTAGTTAGCTCAAGTGGAAGAACTCTGTGTTGAGGATCTAAGGGTCTGAACCCTGATGATGACCCATGTGGGGGGTCAGCAATATGGTCCCACATGATGGAATTTTCTTTTCTTTTCTTTCTTTTTTCTTTTTTTTCAGTTTGCCTTTTTGAAAAAATAGGAAATTACATTAAATATCCATTAAAAGGAAGTTAAGGTTGCAAAGACCAAGCCCTCAAAAGTTAGAAGATGCCAGTGCACAGGATGCACAGTGTTCAGGAAATGAATCAGAATTGTGTGGCATATAAGGCTGTTTTCTGTCGGACCCCTGTCCATGTGTATTGCTGAAGTTGGAAAGTTTATCGTGAAAGAGGCAGGGGATTGCAGGAAAAGAAAAGATAGTCTCATGTTTAAGGCAGTTGAATACCACCCTGGAGAACTGGATTCTCTCTGCTTCTGCCACAGATTCCCATGAGATGCTGGGCAAGTTACTTGTATCGAACTTTTCACAGGTAGGCAGTTGTTGCGTGTTGTTTTCTGGGTGTCCAGCATGAGGCACCGTTGGCCAGATTTGCAAAAGGACTGAGTGTTCAGAACTGCAACTGAAGTCAATGGGAATTGTGCTTTGAATGCATAAAGTGCTATAAAATGGTAAGTATTCTGAAAAATCAGCCTGTAGGTATCTCAATTTGGGTACTCAAAAATCTGTGTGCCTCAGTTCACAATCTGTAAAATGGAGATAAAACATCCCTATTGCACAGGACTTTTTAAAGATTCATTAATGTTTGTGAAGCGCTCAGATACTACAGTGACAAGTGTAATACAAAAGCTCAGGAGGAAATTAATTCTGTGTTCAGTGCAAGGTTAAATTGCATGCTATAAATAAGGCAGGGGCCACACACTGAATGATGAGGCTAAAATGAAATATTGAACAGCTGCTCATTCACCGAGCCATCCATCCTGTGCTCAGAATGAGGCAGAGGTTCTGTGGGAAAAAAATAGTATGTGATCACATAATTAAAGATTGTATTATAATGTGCATTCAGAAGGTGCAGGCAGCCTTAATTCTGGCATTTTCTAACTTTTGATGGCCTGACTTTACCACCTTCAAGTTCTTTTAACACAGGATTTTTTAATTAACATAATTAGCAGTAGCCATTACACAGGAAGAATTTTTTCCATCATCCAGGTAAAGGGCATATGACAAAAGAACTATAGAGTGTTCTCAAAGCTCATTTTGCATTGGGCTGCAAGTTTCTCAATCTGGACTGCTATCTTCCCCCATTTTATATTCACAAACTCTCTTCTCTCCTCTCTTCTTCTATGCAATAGTGTATGTCTGCGGCAGTGAGGGTCAGATGCTCAATCTCAACAAAGACCAACGTGGCTCCAGGGAGCACTGTAGTATCTTCTCTATGATCTTAGACTCCACCATCCTGAGGCTGTGTCCTATGTGGCAGCATACTGTGTTGACAGTTTATCTTTAAGACAGCCCTCTTTATCTTATTCTTTTAAAAAAAAAAAGTATATTTAAAAGACTTACCTGTCCAATAATAAGAGGAACGACAACAGTCATAAACAGCTGTGAGAATATAGATGTAAAAGGCACAGAGGAGGATGATCCAAGCTACAAAATAAAAATACATTGTTAATATTGAACCTTTCCTTCACATCTGTTTTGAGCTCGGCAAAAGATCTGCAATATTTACTTATATCGACTGATGTCCTGATGTATAATTTTACTTATGTGTACACACCTACTTACACACACGTGTGTAACTGTTAAGCCCAATTAATATACGTGATGTTCCACAAGTTACAAAATTAAGGACAGTCTCTGCCAGAAGAGTCTATAGTCTAAAGCCCCAATTCTGCCAATATTTATCTACATACGAAAATTAATCTAGAATAAGGTAGGATATGAATTTAAAGTGGATTAACTATGCCTGAATAACTCCATGTGTAGATGCTCTTATTCATGAATAAGAGTGTCTTATTCCGTATTGGTTTAATCCACTTCCACAGTGGATTAGCCAATTCGGAAAAAGGCATTCTTATTTTGGAATGAAAACATCCACACATGGACTTAACCAGGAATAGCTACTCCGGAATAACTCTGTGTAACTCCCCAGTGTTTCCTTCTACACCAGCCTATTTGGATGTGGCACAGCGGCCCCTGCTGTGGCACATACTGGGTATGCATGAGCTCATGTGCTGCTGCTCCATCTGTGACCTCACATGGGACTGCAGTATCAGGGAGAATCTTGCCTGGACATTTTCCGAAGGAGAAATTTCATCCTTTTTGCACATGAACCTCTCAACCTCCAATTTTAAGCAAATGTGAACAGAGAGGTAGAGCCCTGGTTCCTTGCAGAAATTCCATTGCAGATTAACCAAAATCTCATCACACAATACACAGCCTCCAGGGTGGATTTGCTCTTCTAATGATCCCTGTAACAACTTCTGAAGCATTAAAAGGTTAATAAGTTTTCAAACCCTATTTTGACACTACTTTTGGGCTGGAGAGTTAAAAGCATTAACGACGGTATGTTCAAATAAGCTTTTTCAAGTGAAAATGAAGATTTTAAAACTTTAAAAGCAACCACAGAGAAGTAAATCAAAATGGGTGGTCAGGATTCCAGAACCCTTCACTTTGCTTCCTGAGGCTACAATACTTTTACAGTAACAACACTGTATTTGTGTGAAGGATTCACTGACTTATCTGAATGTTTGAACGTTTTATGTCAATTAGACGTAGTGTATAATCACATTCCAAGTCAAGAATCAAAAGATGTCTGACAATAGAAAATATTGCTGAAAAAGACAGCCATTTAGACACCAATATTCTTGCCATCTTTTCAAACTATTATTTCAAATGTAGCATTTCCAAGCACAGAATCTGCATTTGAAAGGAATCTCAAGGCTTCAGATTAAAAGCAGTTGTGGACTCATCAGCACAGATGTCAAGTTTTTTAAGAAAAGGAAATTGAATTATAGTGGGTGAGGGATGGGAGACGAAAAGGGAGCCATATCACAAACAAATATACCTATGAGAAACAAATTATTTTATACAAAGCAATGATCTTCCAAATCAGAGCTTTAAAAGTTCAGCTCTTTCATGACAAATGTGAATAACCACTTTGACACCCCCTGTTTTTGATGAGTGCATGCACCTGGCCCTGTCTTGTATCCTAGTGCCTTTTATTCATACATAGTTAGTTACAGTGCCAGCCTTCTCTCCCCCACTCAGGGTACTGCCGTTATTCCTTCCTCAAAGATAGATTCCTGGTTTCTTGTTTCCCTTACCCACTCTACAATGATGTCACTGGTGGCATTTTATCATTGTCAAGTCCCAGAAAAAAAGGTCTATAAGCTTAAAGACAACAGGCCAGATCCTCAGCTGGTGTAAACTATCACAGCTCCATTAAAGAGCTGGCCCTGAATCTATGCCCAGAGGATACAGAAGACAGGAGGAAGGAGGAATTTTCATTCATGCAAAATAAGTACACTTTTCAGCCCCTGATCAATGACACAATCTGGCCACTGATAAGTGAATCTCAGATGATTCAGATTCTGAGATGATGCTTAACTAAGCCTTATCAAAACTATCTGGACATACATAGTATGCAAAATTAGACTGAAAATCTCACAAGAACACGTTCCTTCTTGATCACCCGCACTTGCTGTTTCCAGATTTTACTGTACTTTGGGACTTATGGTCTCATCTATTAGCAGAGAGCTAAAATGAGCTAGACTGGGGAAAAAACGTGAAGTAAGGAGCTATTCAAACTTCTCCAAATCTTAAGTTAATGGTAGACGACTGGCTACTCTCCTTAACATCATAACCCCAACACCTAAGAATGAGCTGCCTTTTTTGTTTGTTTGAGAAAGCCAAATAGAAGGAACATTTCTTAAACAACTTTGGGAATAAAATAATACCAATCAGGTATTAATAGCTGTAAAAATGTGACTGGGTTTTCTTATCACTTATTTTCCATTTAACTTGTTACATAAATTGTGGAGATCAAGTTTAGCATTTAATCACATCTCATCACAAGTCTGTCTTTCAAAATATTGAAAAATTGATTTGCCAGTATATTTCATTTTAAAACAATAATTCTTTGCACAGGCATGTGGTTTTTATTTAATGGATACCTTGTTTATATGTACTGAATAGCCTGTGTTCTTCTGGATATCTGTGTCTGAATATGGTGCTCATTAACGGCACAGGCTTATGAAGCACTAACTAGAATCAGACAAGGGGACCAGTTTGAGTAGTCCCTATTCACTTAAATAGTCCCATTGACTTAAACGGGATAACTCACAGGAGTAAGGAATGAACACATGAATAAGGGTTTGCAGGGTAAGGCCATATTGGGAGCAAGTTCCAGACGAGTTTCTCCACACAATCCTGTCACTGTGCAGTACTTAAACTTGACCTGCAATGCTCCTGCTACTCCAGCCCTAGACCTCTCAGCTCCAGAGACTGCCAATTTTAACAACACCTGCCAAATTATTTAGTGGGTTTGTTTATAGCAGAGTTCACAGGAGAGACACGGACTGAGCCTGAAGTGATAGGATATAATTAACTTTTTGTTGTATAAAGGAATCCTCCTCGCATGAAAATGAGAACACTCTGCACTTCCAATCCTATCCTAACTCCACATGACAGGTGGTCAATCTTCTTTTTTCTGGCTGCCAAGGCAGATATCACAGCTGGGGTGTCCTCCCCAAGGAAGAGGCTACACCCAGAACTGCCACAGACTCAGAAGAAACACCTCCTGCCAGTCGTACCAAATTACAATCCAGTGCCACATTTGCTGCCCGTATTGAGTCCACTTCAGAGGAACTCTGGGCTCTCTGCTCTACAGCATTTTCTTGTACTTAACATGTTTTTCCAGGCTGTGTCCTCAGACTCTACTAAGTACACTGTTAGCCAGCTTGAGCCTTCTCCCTTGCTGTGCACCCCGAGAATCTGTGCAAGCCTCACCAAAGATAATTAGGGTGGGGAAGGTGGTAAAAAGAAGAGATGACAGACTGGAAGGGTCATTGGCTTTTTGAGTTTGTGGTGCAATTTGCAGACTCCTGCAATATTTTGTGAGTTTTCTATTTAGAGGTAAATGTATTCTATCAGCCATAAAAACAATTTTAGTTTAATAGGCAGAAGACATCTTTAAAAGACTCTCCATGTGTTTTAAAGTGATATCTGGTATACAATTACAAAAGTAGAGACAAGTGGAATAGAAAGTCCTCCACAGAAATTGTACAGATATTAGATTCCTCTACCTTTGCAGATGTGCAATTATCTATATATGTGGTAGGGGATGGGAGGATTTGTATTGTTGTTTGGTCACTAAAAAAGAAGTATAATGTAAGGCAGTCAAAAGTTAGTCTGACACAAAGGCACACAGAGTTTGATGCAAAGCTCACTGAAGTCAATGGAAAGATTTCCACTGATCATTTCATTCCTCAGAGATTAAGAAGGAAATTAATCTGTATACAAAATAGATATTATAGACAAGGCAGTAAGAAGATGGTGCACTTTAAATCATTCAGATGAAATAATTGACCTGTAAACAGTTAATGCACTGTATCGTCTTCCTCACTCCCACAATCAACCTGTTGTCACACACCAGTGACATACATTAGCCACAACTTCCTTAACAACTTCTGTGTCTTCTCAGCTATTAGTATATTATTTAACAATTCATTCTTCAGTTGACCGGCAATCAGCCTTCACTTGTCAAGAACTCACAAAAAATGAATGTGTGTATGTTCTATGATACTGAAAAAGGGAAGCTATTTTACCAGGGAAATAAGGAAACAAAGTACAGTGCAAAGAAATCCAGGTTGTTTTTCCTGAAAATCTGAGAAATCCAGCATTTTGAGGAACAGTAGTTTCATTTAAAGACTGTTAACATAAAGCAAATGTTAAAAGATAATAAAACTTTAATATTTATGGCAACATGTAGTTTTACTCATGTTCCTTTTCAGTAGTCCTTTCCTCCAAGATGTTTAAACTGAAGTTTTCTCCCCTTGACTGAGCCGAGATTCTTTCACTAATACTATATTCTAATATTTGTAGTATCACTGTTCACAAGCACCCCATCAAAATGACTGATATAACATACAGAACATAGGAAAAAATCACTGAATAAATCAAGTAGAAGGAGCAAGCTGATTAGGAAGTAGAAAAGCTTCTACTTCAACACCTGTATCATGGTAATCACCTTTGATAGTATGGCAAATACAGAAGTAGTACATGACACTTGGAGTTTTGCTAAGTATATTTTCACAAACGTACATGAGTGTTGCAAGGGCTTTTTAACATTCCAGGTTTAAGTGGTTTTGCAGGCAAGCTTTGAAGACTGACGTACACAAGAATGTAAAATACACACTTAGCCCAACGTTTCTTTGGTGACTTCAGTAAAGATATATAGATTCATACATCTTTGTATTTGTTACTTTGTTATCCAACCAACCATACTTCCATAAATTAAAGAGAGTACCTAGCATCCGTTCATACACAATAGTGCTAATAATTTCAAGACCACGGCAGAGTTGTAATGTAATATCATAAAAAAGTGCAAAAAGTAAACAAAGTAAAATTTTGTTTTCATAAACATTCAAATGATTTGTTATATTGTGGTACCAAATACATTGTGATTAATCAGCTATGTTTTATTATGTCAGCACTACTGTAGCAAAGTAAAATCTCAGAGCGATATTGTTCTACCCCTGAATAGGGGCATAAGAGCAGGAGCAATATAAGGAGCTTCCAACCTCCTCAGCTGAGCATAACTGCAAGTCCATGTACTCGTCCAAGGGCAGGACCAGAGAGAATAGTGGTGCTAGCCATCCCAAGAGGGATGAGAGGAGGGGCAGAGCCATTTTCATATAGAACCTGGCACTTGTAGCACAACAGCTATGCTCTCCCTGCTCCCAGGGGAGCTCCAAGAGACTGTTTTCCTGAGGCATTCAGCTCTTCCCCCACCTGGGGCAGTGCTTACAAGGCACAGTCCAGCCCTTAAAAAAGATATAGACACAAATACAAACATACAGTACACATACTGTCTTAATGATGTTATATTTTAAGGAGACACAGGAGTGATGATGTAGTTAAAAGTGTTCCAGAGTGCTGTGCTTCTCTCTTTCAGATGAGACATAAAAACAATGGTGCTGACAACTTGAGGTTATTAAAGAGATCACAGCACTATTACCTTCACAGCATGATGTTACAATTTGTTTAACTGTCTTTTATTAACGTAAATGTGCCCAGAAGCTTTGGCAATGGCAGCATATTTTTAGAATTCATTTTAATAAATGTTCACAAGAGTATAGGTGTTAGCCTTAGTGTTCCAGCCAAATTGTAAGTTGAGGGCTTGATTCCTGCACCCTTACTCATGTTAAGTAGAATTGTACTCTGCAAGACAAAAAAAACCTGTTCAAGAAATACAATGCTAATCAACTTAAGTAGGGGTGCCACATTTGGGATTCAAGTAATTACATTCTGCTTACCTAAATTCTCTCTGTTGTTTCACTAGATATTATTCATCACTTCCTAACATAAACTGTTCTTCATCGTTATTGTGTGCTATTAACATTTGCTCTGTTTCACCTGAGAGGAGGTGGCAGTTATTTCAGTATTCACAGCAAAGGATACAGCTTCTATAACCAGTCAGCAAAGGCATTGTAAGGCACTGTGCAATCCATTTAGATGAATACGGATTATTATAAATGTAGTATCATTACTGCTACTGGGAAAAGTACAGACATTAGTTGAAAACAGAGAACAAAGTAATAAGATAATTGTAAACATAAGGTACTGCTCCATACCCACATGATAAGACAAAGCCTGGGGAATTAAACTACCAACTCTCTAAATTCTACATTGTGACAATTATTCATCATTAGTAGAGAAATTCCCCCAAAAGGAGATTTCTTCTTGTCTATGTGAATTCTTAGCTTACTATTTTTCTGAATTTTTTTTTAAAACAGCTTAAAAAACTGGCTCTTCAGTTTAAAAATCTTGATTACTGTACTGCCACTACTGGTTTCACTTAAATATCTAACCTGACACAAGGAGAGTAGGAACTTGTCGTGTGTGCTCTAGTATATAGGATCCCATATCCCTCTAATAAAATCTTGCAAAATGTTGCAAAGAAAGGAGAATGGCATATTCCCATGTTAACTTGCAACCAATGGGTCTCAGAGTGCTTTATGTTTAAACCCTTTTCTGCTCATCACATATATGAATGCAAATGTGTATTGTTTATGCTACACTGCCACTTTATAACACGATCCTTGGGAATCCAACATCATAAGTGTTAAAAATAACAGTTATAATGAGGACAACAATACTGGGGTTTAATGCAGCTGGAAGCCAAGGTTCTATAGCTTCCTATTACAGTGATAATCAGTGATGCTTATGACGGTTGCTATCCTTTAAAATCTAACAAAGGGTACCTACAAAGATAAAGTCTGCTAACTGAGGGTACAATATATGAGGTTTCATAAAATCAGTCTTCAAATCTCAGACCATTTTGCTAAATAAGCTTTATATAATAAGTTTGGTAGCAGAAGTATTCTCTTCAGAAATGTGACTGAATCTTATATTTAACACCATTCATTTAGGGAAATAAATTATTTGCAGGAAATATATAATTTATAACAAGCTTTCACTCTTCTTCCATTTGTCTACTTCAACATGTCTTTAACAACTTTGTTAAAACAACTCATGTTTACATTAACAGACATTTACAAACAAAGGAAGCAGTTCAAAACATTATATACTGTCAGAAATTAACATGGGGCACACAGAGGGAAAAATTTAAACTGTGACCATCTAGGGCCAAGCTATCTAAAGAACAAGTTAATAAATAATAATTTAAGTGTATTCTGGTAGCACTCAGAAAGCGTTAGGCACTGTTTACACATACAGGCCTTGCCTTAAGAGCTTATGGTAGTCTTATAAATATTATTACTATAATATAGTATTCTAATGATAGTATTATTACTCTGTTGGAGCATGGCCATTGCTTTATTAACACTAGCGAGCATCATAGGCCTGATCCAAAGCCCACTGAAGTGCTTTTGAAAACCATTCAGTGTCCATTGAAATCAACATAAATACAACCAGTGTTGGCTTAACTCCAACGAGAGTTTTACCTTGGTGCTGAGTGTTTTTGAAAATTCCATCCAACACGAATAGAGTATCAAAGGACAAATCATCCCTTGTCACACACTAGACTTTTATACATCAATAAATCCCACAGAATCATGGCTCAAGTTTTGAACACTGTGATAATGAAAGAATCTGCAGCTTTTGCAGATTTTAGTCCACACATTTTGTTTAGAGCTTTGTTAAGAAGTGACAACTTCTTTTTCTTCACGAGAGCAAACTGCTCAGAGTGCTACAAATAGTAGTACGGTGAATAATAAACAGTTAAGTGGCACAGTGTTACACTAGTAACTTCAGCACTGATTGGAAGCACACATGCCTATTCTCTGGCTCCTATTTCTTCTTGAACATTAGAGACTTTTACAACTTGCTACAAGATGAAATAGAAGATGAGATACAAGATGAAAAACGTTACGGCTGACTACTAGCTGGCTGGAGTATTTTGTTACCTAATCTTTTATTTGCCCATAAAGAGATGTCACTGACATAAATCAAGACTTTATCTTGTTTCAAAAGTTGTACGATTGAAAAATTAAATAAATTTCAGGTTTTACGAAAAATGCGCCTTCCCCCAGGCTCCATTTCAAAAACATCCTATCTCAGTTGGGGTACAAGGGTTCAAGACATCACTTAGAAAGTGAAAAAGATGCTCATGTTCAAGGTAATAAAACCAAAAGTTTTGTCTTTTTAAAATGGGATTTTGGTCTTGTAACTCCACCCCTCTGGAAGAATTACCATCTATCAGGGAGAGCAGAAGAGGGGCAGACAGCGAGGAGAGTAGTAGCAGACCATCCGGAAGCAGTTCCTTCCCTCTTCCTTATAAGGAAGTCATATTAGCTCTGTCTGTGAACAGGTGTCTTTCATAACCTACACTAAAACACAGTTTACACACCGTGAGTCCATACTTACAACCCTTTCCGGGGGTTTGATTGTCATAATACAGAAATTAACAGTAAGACAACAAAGTTCAACTTAAACCTTCGTGACAGGCTTGGCCGCTTCTCAGGACTTCTCAGCCCATACCCTATATCTCCTCTCCCCAGAGAGCAACATACCTCAGTGGTTCCATGAAACCCATGTATCCTGTTGCCAGCAGGATCAACACCTGCTAAATGATATTAGATATTTCAGGGAAACACTGCCAGCCTGTTACAGGGTCACTCACTGTGTAATGACGAATAAACATCACTTGCAACCAGATCTCTGTCTGCTTCCATGAACTGTAAGTAACCAAGACCCTGACGGATGACCAACGACTGAGTAAGACTTGAACAAACAAGAGTCAACAAGGTTCTTGTTAGTGGCACCCAATGGCTTCAGTAATTTGTCATCCCCTTTCCAATCTCTCACACACCTCTAACACAAAAATACCCATAGGTTTTAGTTGCCCAAATGTAAGACTGCATTTACCTGGCCAAACATTTTGGCTCATTATGATCCCATGCTACCCCAGCACATGCTATAAGATAGCTCTCCTACTGGGGTAGGCATTTTGTCATTGCAAACATGTGTGTTTGGCTCAGCTTGTCTGATAGCATATGCTTTTGTGATACTGTCAGATGAGCAGGCTCACACCCCCTTATAAAAGGAAGCAGTGGGTACTGTGTTTGCTGTGACACATTTTTATTTATTACCAGTTTGGAAGAAGTCTGTCCCAAATACTGACCACAACTCCTTTTGAGTATCAAAACAATGTAAAAATCAATGAAACTTCTGGTTTACAGTATATTTTTTAATAAGTGGTAAGTTACTTTAAAAAAAGGGATTGGAATCTTAATATCAAAATACTCACAAAAAGCAGCAGTAGAAGTGGAGTTATAATGATACCCTGGAAGAAATAAAAGAATGTTTTATTAGCCAGGAAAGCAGAATCTTCTCTTTGTCATCTTAAACCCTGATGCATGGAAATACATAGATTTTGTTAAATTAAAGCAAGGCTAAATGATAACGAAAGGAAACGTTTAGCTTCATTCTTTACTGTACAGATTCTTTAGCATCTGTATAGGAATAATTTCTACTTACTGTAGCTAGAAGTTTAAATAATATTCCTTAGACCCAGCTTTCTTCTTTTTAGACTGAAGACTTCCTTTCTCAAACTATACACAATATAGAAGTTCAGACTAGTATCTTGTGAAGATTTCCCCACCAATATGTTGTACTCTCACTTGGTTAAGATGCCCCTCCCGTCGGGGAGACAGGTGGTTCAGTCCCACACTGCCTAATTCATGGTCCTCTCTTGAGCAAAAGCTCCATCAGCTGTGATGAATTAGGTGTCCTGATTTTATAATGTAAACTAATATCCCCTAGGAAATGAGCTGAGATCTCAAAACTCATTTCACTTGATTAGACTCCATGTCTCAATGGAGAAAGGCAAGTCTTTCATCTAATTTAGTCACACAGGACCACCTCAGCTCTCCACATCCCCCAGGCAGAGAAGGCAAAAGATTTGTTTTCTTCACTGACAGGGAACAGGTTTAAGGCTCATGACTGGACAAAATACAAGATTTTAAGTTTCATGAAAGAAAATCTTAAAATGAATTGTTTGGGTTGGGAGTTAACATAGCATGCTTCACTTTCATAGCTGCAAGTGGTATGTCTCCCTAACCCCTCCATCATACTTCAATATTTTCTCAAGATTTAATAAAAGCAGTTTGTCATTTAATGCATATTCATTCACAAGTCCCACTTCGAACTTCTTTTGTAAACAAAGATTATTTTTCTTCCTAGTATTTATCAGATACCATTATTCCATTAATGAGACCCACTCACAAACTCAATATATTTTCCAAGGGCAAGATGCCAACCCACTTATACAAATCTAGAATGATAATTTCCCCACATATTCTTGGTTTCAACCAAGTGAAAAATACAAGTTAAAAGCAGTGCTCCCTTTTTGGTAATTTTTTTTTTTTGTCATAATACAGCTTTACTCTGGCTCTTCAAAGCTGTTAAAATCCAATATAAAACTCTCTCTTTATCTGATGTATTTGTATTATAGCAGCATCAACAGGCCCCAAGCAGGAGAAACTCGTGAACCAGACACTTATGAACAAACAGGAAGACACGGTTCTTGCTCTGAAGTGCCTTCTTTAAAACAAGATGCAACAAGTGAGAAACAGGAGGGGACAAAGGACAAGGAAAAGAGGAATAAGAACAGAAGGTAACAGGCTAGCTGCACCAACTTGAAAGTTACACATTATTTTAAAGTATTTCTTGAAATAAATAAATGATATATCCTGTCTTTGATGGCTTCTCAATCTAGCCATCATTTGTCAGCTGACTTGTTGTGCGTGTCCCAGCAGACGTGGATCCTGGAAGGACAGCAAGCAATGGCTTTAAGGATTACTCCAGGGGTGGTGTTCCCTGTGTGAGGAGCAGCATGGAAGAAAATGCAGCAATGTTTGTTGGAAAAGTAGACACATGGGTGTTCAAGGACGGCAAAATTTGGGTGCAGGAAGCAGCAGGCGGGGGTTGTGGGATGTAATAAGAGCTGAGCAGTTATTATGCAAAGTAGTTGCTACAACACCTGAAATGATGGCCTATCGAGAACAACTTTATAGAGAGAATGTAATGCAGTCATTCCAGTATAATGTGCCACATAACACACTCTTAGAGTTTTATTAGACACTGTTGAGTATGTGGGGCTAGATCCCCCTCTTCCCCTCCTGTGTATAAGAAATACTTCGCACTGCCAAGTACCTGAAACTTCCCCTGGCATAAAGGAATCCCCAGATGGTATAAAGCTAGCATAGCTGGCTCTATGATGCCCACTTCTAGACCCAAGCACAGGGGGATTGTCAGGGGTGGAGGTGATGTACCCAAAACGATTCTCCCGGTAGAACAGTCTACTGGTGTAACAAGGTTACTCTAAGGTGCTGAATTAGGGCCTGGCCAGCCCTAAAATTTGGGGAGCAGAAAGGTGGCTTGTATGACTGCATGGTGAGGGGGTTCCATGACATCCCTCATCCTGGGCAGCCTGTGACACATACAGAAGGCTTGCGATGGAGCAGTGCAATGACTGCTCTGTCCATGTGCCTGGGGTTGTACATCATCCCAAAGACAGCAGGGAGGTGGAGGGGCCACATCCCCGCTCCTGCAACAGCCTGCAAATTTGACTAACTCCTCACAATGCGTGGAGGCGCTGGTTCAGGACCATGTATAAGCTTTGGGCACATCACCTCCCACCCCCGAGAAGCCCCCTGTGCTTGGGTCCAGAAAAGGGTATTACAGAGCCAGGTCTGCTGGGTTTATACCACTTGGGGATTCCCTTTTGCCAAGAGAAATCTCATTCTCAGGAAGAATGTAAAGAGAGGTTAAATTACTGTCCTTCTGGTGAGTCTGGGTTGCGGTGGTCCCTTCCTTTTCACTTACTCAACTATGCTCTTCAGGACAGGGCCTGTGTCTTCCTATGGGTTTGCACAACACCTAGTATAATGGGGTCCTGATAGTGATTAGTTCCTTTGGGTGCTACCACACTACTACTGCTGCTGCTGCTAATTCTAAACAGGCCCAATATAAAGAAAAATTTTATAATAACGTAAAGGTGGACGTGGAGTTGAAATATCCCTGTACAGGTCAGATTCCTGACTGCTTTGTTAAAAAAACTGGCTCCCAAAATGTAATTCTAGCAATTCTTAGGATAAGTTTTATGACCAGCCCTGGTGATCTTAATAAACTCAGAAATGAGGTACATGTGGTCTCTACACAATCATTATTTATACGGTCAAATTCTGCCCTCAGTTTTATACAATCAATACACAAGGAAGTTCAGAGGAGCCACCCACAATTATCTTAGGGGATGACTGGCCCATATTTAAGAAGAAAATAGTTATTTGATGTTAACATTTTACTTAGATAAATAGTATCAGTTCCAGCACACACAAAGATTTAAATTAAAACTTCAAGCCGTATCTCTTTTCATTAAGCAGCTCTCCTTAAAAGTATTCATAACCCAACAGTATGATATTTCAGAATCCATAGATATCACAGAATGCAAAATTAATGTGTACCAATATACAAAGGTTTAGGAGATAAAACCAAAACATTGGTTCATTCTAGAATAAGCAATTCAAAGAACAATAGGAAAATGATAGCTATTCAGGACTATCCAATTTATATGTTACTCTACTGAAATGCTACTAGGCTGAATCAGAGATAGAAGTACTCTAAGTACAGGATGTGAACTATAATCTTACATTGCTGCAGCAACAGTTACTGAATGCCACAAAAGAAACTAAAAAGGGAAATCTCTCCTTTCTAGTCCATTGCACACAAACACTACCAGGAAGAAAAACCTAAATTTGACTACTCTTTTTCCTACCTCACTTTCTGAGCAAGTGCTGTCAAGCACATAGTGAATGGAGATAAACAGGTTGTAGATTAGCACTTCCAGCAGAAGCTGAGCATCTGCCCTTGTGGATGCAAGGTCATTACACAGTTTTAGCATCCTCAAAATTAGGGTGGAATGTTAAGCTCTCTCTGTGCAGCCCATAATGGAATCTAAGTTGTAAAGTGACTGCCATTTGCTATCTGCAGAAAAACTTTCAAGAAATCCATTTACACCTCTGATGTGAAAGACTGACTGAATATATTTCAATGATTTTAGTGGGAAGGCTGGGGGGAGGGAATCACAGCCTGACCTGAAACACTGATATAAAGTACGATTCTGCATAGAATCAGTCACATTAGAAACTTGTAAATGCACTTCTCTTTACAGTAAGGATCACAAAATATGTCACAGTTAAGAGTGCTATTTATATTTTAATTTTTTAAAAACAGAAAACAGGTACAGAGAGATGCATTTTACCATATTTCCATTGCAAAGAAAATGTTCAAAAAGAGATCACATTGGTTTTCCAATTTTGTTTCCTACAGTATAGCACTACCCCATCTTGGTTACTGGAAGAGGTTTTCTTCTCTGACAAAACATGTACCCTCAATACATGTAATCAGCTACAAAACTGGATAGCAAAAAGCGTAAAGAATTTTACAGCCACGATGGCTAATCATTAGGAAACAGGTGATGTTAATGGATGTATAAGACAGGCCAGGCTAAAGAGAGGCACCTGGTGGAAGAGGTGTATTGCATTATTGTAGTGAGGCAATGAGTCAGGCAGACTTTCTTTATACCTCTTAGCCCACAAATTTTACTTCTTCACCATCATTACAGCCACTCAGTGACACCTGTATGTGGGGACTATCAATCAATGAGCATAGTCTTTAATTTGTCTTCAGAAACAGCACTGGAAAGAACAAAAAGTTATTGGTAATCAAAGCTCTGATCCAGGAAAGCACTCAAGTATGGATGTAGCCCCACTGACTTCAGTGGGTCTACTCATGCTTAAAGTTAAGCACCTGCTTAAGTGCTTTGTTGGGATGAGGTATAACAGGATTAAAAATGTAAATGTCTTGTCTCGACCACAGCGTCATTTTATTCAATGTACAGTACTGTTGAATGGTCAGTATTTCTATTAGTATAGAGTAGGTTAATGAAAACAGCTCCATGTGGGAGCCAACTTTGTTGGCAATCTCAGCAGAGACCAACTGAAAGAGCTTGGAAACTGAATTACTCCATCCTCACCCTTCTACAATATGCTTACAGGTCTGGGTTAAGGAATACATTTGTTGGTCAAGGCAATATGGGAAAGCCAGCAATGAATTCCTCAATCCACAGAATATTGATAGAAACTCTAGGTGCAATCTGGCACTGTTTAAGGCAATTTATTACACCTTGCCACCAAAAGAAAACAAAGAACAGGCCCTTGTATTTATTTATTTGGTTTTCTACAGTTTTTAAAAAGGACAATATCCAAGGCTCTAAGCATTCAT